CCAGGTTATAAAGTGATTATTTATATAGGGACATTTAAATAGTTTGTATATCATGGGCATGAGAAAATATGTTTCTCATGCTTCTAATTAAACCTAAAGAGGAAAACAGCTTCAATTGTTTAAAAAAAAGAGTAGTCATTTTCTTTTCTTTCTTTAAAAATATTTTATTGATTTTTTACAGAGAGGAAGGGATGAGAGAGAAACATTGATCAGTTGCTTCCTGCACACCTCCTTCTGGGGATGTGGCCGAAGCCAAGGTACATGCCCTTGACTGGAATCGAACCTGGGACCTTTCTGCAGGCTGACACTCTATCCACTGAGCCAAACCGGTCAGGGCTTTATTGAACTTTTGAAACAACTAGAGGTACGGATAGTAGGACAAACTGCTTAACTTGTCCAAGATCAACCCAGCCAGGGGCAGGGCTAGATTCTCACCTAGGTCAACTGGACCCCACAACCTAGAAGGTGAAGTCAGTGCCACTCAGAACCCCCTTAAAAAATACCCAGCAATTTTGCCTAGCCAGTGTAGTTCAGTGGTTGAGCATCGACCCATGAACCAGGTGGTCACTGGTTCAATTCCTGGTCAAGGCATATGTCTAGGCTGCAGGCTTCTCTCTCATCAATGTTTCTCTCTCTCTCTCTCTCTCCCTCCCTCCCTCCCTCCCTCTTTCTCTCCCTCCCTCCCTCTCTCTCTCTCACCACCTTCTCTCTGAAATAACACACGCGCACGCGCACATACACACATATTTTTTAATATATTTTTACTGATTTCAGAGAGGAAGGGAGAGAAAAACATCAATGATGAGAGAGAATCCTTGATCGGCCACCTCCTGCACACCCCTCACTGGGGATGAAGCCCAAAACCTGGGCATCTGCCCTTGACTGGGATCAAACCGAGGATCCCTTCAGGCCGATACTCTATCCATTAAGCCAAACTGGCTAGGGCAATAAAAACGTATTTTTTTTAAAATGCCTAGAACTTCCACGACAGCCAAGGATACATATAGGAACTTGTGCAGACAGTGCCCATAGGAACATAAATTGGCACAGTCTTTCTGGAAAATAAGTTGATAATATATACAAATGCTCCTCAACTTATAGTGGGTTACCTTCTTTTTTCCAGACTGACTGGGCTATATATAATGTGTTACCTTTTTTTAAAAAAATAAATTTTTATTTTTTATTTCAGAGAGGAATGAAGAGGGAGAGAAACACCAATGATGACAGAGAATCATTGATCGGCTGCCTCTTGCACGCCCCCTACTGGGGATCAAACCTGCAACCCGAGCATGTGCCCTTGACTGGAACCGAACCCAGAACCTTTTAGTCTGCAGGCCAACGCGCTATCCACTGAGCAAAACGGGCCAGGGCATGTGTTTACTAGTAATACACCATCACAATTTGAAAATATTGTAAATTGAAAATGTGTTTAACCTACAGAACATCCCACCTTTGCCTACATTTCTACTGCATGCATGTTACTTTTGCACCATTGTAAAGTTGAAAAAACTGTAAACTTATCCGGAGTGGGGTGGCTCAGTGGTAATCTTAAATCAGGGACTGTCTGTACAGCCCTACAGATGGCCCCTTCCTTATATATAAACCTGACCCTAATGAAATATATAATATAGGATATTATATAATTCTTAAGATCAGAATCTAAAAGAAAAAAGATACACCGTGTTTCCCACATTAGTTTTAAAATGGAAAAACATTAATAATCTAAATGGCCAATATGAAAAGAATCTACACTAATAAAAGAGGAAGATGGTAATTGGCGTCCGACCACTACCCTTTTCATTGGCTAATCAGCGAGATATGCAAATTAACTGTCAGCCAAGATGGCGGCAGGCAGCCAGGCAGCTTGAAACTAACATGAGGCTTGCTTGCCTCAGTGACTGCCGACTCCAACGTTCCCTGCCTGCTGCTGTAGGCCTCTGAGCCGGCAGTTTCAAACATAGTAACATATAGAAGCTAAAAAAAAAAACCCAGAAACCAGCTTTCAGAGAGCTGGGATCTCAGAGCTGGAGTTGATACAGAGTTTCGATTAGAACCGAAACAAACCAGATACCTGCTTTCAGGAGCGGAGGCCTAAGAGCTGGAGCCTCAGAGCTAAAGCTGGCCCAGAATAAAAAAGAAAAAGAAAAAAAGAAGCAGTTGGGAGCTTCAGTGGGCCTGAAAACAGCCCTCAGCCCCTCACCCAGACTGGCCAGGCACCCCAGTGGGGACCGCCACCCTGAAGGGTGTGTGACCAGCTGTAAACAGCCATCATCCCCACGCCCAGGCTGGCCAGGC